CCTGGGGTTATTCCTCCCCAGGTGCAGGCCCTTGTTGAACCTACTTAGGTTCCTCTCCACCCAGCTCTCCAGCCTGCCCACACCTCGCTGAATGGCAGCACAGCCTTCTGGCGTGTCAGCCACTCCTCCCAACTTTGTATCACCAGCAAACTTGCTGAGGGTGCACTGTGTCCCTTCATCCAGGTTGTTGATGAGTATGTTGAGTAAGACTGGACCCAGTACCGACCCCTGGGGAACACCACTAGCCACAACTAGACTCAGCACCACTGATCACAACCCTCTAAGCTTTGTCCTTCAGCCAGTTGTCGATCCACCTCACTGTCCACTTGTCCATCCCACACTTCCTAAGCTTACTTATGAGGATGTGATGGGAGACGGTGTCAAAACGTTTTGCTAAAGCTGAGGGGGACAACATCTGCCAGCTCCCTCAGCACTCACGGGTGCATCCCATCAGGGCCCCTGGATTTGTGAGCGTCCAGTTTGCCTAAATGATCTCTAACCCAAGCCTCCTCAAACAAGGGAAAATTCTCTCTCTAGATTTCCTCTCTTACCTCCAGAGCCTGGGATTCCTGAGGACCAGCCATAGCGGTAAAGACTGAGTAAAGAAGGCATTCAGTAACTCTGCCTTCTGCGTATCCTCTGTCACCAGGGTACCCACTTCTTCATCAGGGGACCCACATTTTCCCTGGTCTTTTTTATGCTACTGATGTACTTGAGTCAGCTGGAGTCAATTAAGTGCTAGCAGCTGACTCAAAAGTGAGAAATTATTTTGGGAACTAGATAGTAGTTTTTGTAAGTCAGCATGAAATGACCCTGGCTCTCAGGGGAGACTTCAATCACCCTGATACTTGCTGGAAAGGCAACACAGCTAGGCAGCTGAGAAGCGTCAGAACCTTTGCCTTTTAATTTCATTTATTCACACCATAGGAAAGTCTCAGTGTCTCCTCCTCTTGTATCCACGTGCTAGGTAGTGCATTCAACTCCTCATGTCTTACTCACCTTATGCATGCCCTGAGGTGAAGAAAACCACTTGAAGCACACTTTTCTGCTCAAAACTTCTGTTGTTTGGAAAAAGCTGGTTTTCCTCATTTAGAGATACTGTTTATCATATTTTTTCCAATCTTTACTTACATTTCATGCCATCTAGTAGCTTGGCCAAGGATATTCTGTTTTCTTTCAGCATAAGACTTTCTGATAAATAACTGCAAAGAGACATGAAAGAGTAAGTTCTTAAAATAAAGTCTGGTAATTACTTGTAGCAGCTGCCATTAGTTAATAAAACATGTATTATTTATTATTTACATCTCAAGCTTTATGATTAGACTTAGTAAGAACTTGGTTAAGTGCTATAAAGCGATAAAAAAGCGTATCTGTCACTCTGAATATTATTCTTCCGTAACAATGTGACAAAAGCATTCCCTGGCCATGCAAAGAACCAAAGTTCCAACACCGCAGAATTTGTAAGTAAGCCTCACCGAGTTAAGTCAACTTACGTTCAAGACTCTATACTGTCATACTAACAGCACACTACCACACAGTATGACTGCTGGAAAAGCAAATACTACAGAAAAGTCATCCTCAGACAGACCTACAGACAGCAAAGCTTGCAAGATGGAAGCGCTTCTTTTGGCAGCCAAAAGCAAATCCTAAATGCCGTCTTGTAAGAGTCTGGGAGTCCCTTCCTCTTCCCTCAGAGATTCAAACTTCCCTTTAATAAGAAAATCAACACATACACACACGACCTAGGTAAAACCCCAACACACATGAGCAACAATCCTCACGAAGATCCACAATAATCAGGTACTTTTATCCCTTCTTGGGGACTGCACTTACAACTCACAAAAATCCAAAGGCTCACAAGTGTATCAATCTGTTCAGTCTGTGTTAACTTCAAGCTCACTTCATAGACGTGAACCTCTGTAACAGCTGCAGCTCCCGGACTGCAGCACCAGCCACCATGAAGATGAATTACTGTAAGCTGCTACTTGCTCTGTTAGCATCACTGCTCTTGTAGAGCTCAAATTTAAGAGTATTATTTAACCTCGTGCTGACACCAGAACTGAAGATTCATTTGGAGCCACCTACCCAAGACCCCAGCTGCAGCATTAGCTTCCCTCATGTCCAAACTCACATAAAATAATAAATGACAAGGCTAAAGCAACTGCATGATGTAGATAGATGACAAAGACTTGAGCTCTTCATGAATATGCAAAGGTAAAAGTTCACACACCTTGACTCACACACTGTCTACAAATTGTTCTAGTTCTTTTTGTAAGCATGCTTTTCTGAATTTGGGCACAAGTAGCACAGAATGTAAATTCAGGTATGAGATCAACAAGTTTCAAGTTATACTATGCACCTGAATATTTTTACACTATCGTTAATGTGACAGGGAACCCTGTAGAGGATACTCCCACACTGTCTTAATTCTTTTTGAGCAAAAAAGATCCGAGATTCATTTACAGCAGGTGGAAGGAAAGCTTCTTTAAAAAGAACTGTTTGCATTCTGCATCAGACCCTTTGCTTGCAGGTGATAGAAACGCTTCAGATACAGCTACTTACAGCAACCATCTCAGCTGTTTTTCTGAAGAAAAGAGTATGTTTTGTCCTTAGAACCAAACCAAACAAACCATGCATTTCAGCTACGACATCAAAAGTGTTTGATAATGCCTTTGCAAACTAACATCAGTGGCTAGACCACAGAAGGGACTGATTTAAAACAGCACTTAGTTTCCACATGCCTAGTAGCTGTCAGTTCGGTGTAATTTCATTTGACTCTGTAACCTCATATACCTCAAAAATCTTCCTTTTCTTTTCTTTTTAATTTTAAGTGATTCTTTAGGTGTTTCATACTCTCAGTTTCTACTGTATTTCTACTTACTTCACTCTGACCTTCAAGATGAGTCTGAAAATGCTACACTGCTCTAATTAGGGCAAAGTCATCAGTTTGAATTTTTTTTTTCCTTCTTCCAAAGGAATATAAAAACCAGACACCAAATAATTGCATTCATCACCTACTTTTTTGAAAATGGAAAAAAAAAACAACCAAAAAAACCAACCAAAAAACAGCACCACTTCAGTTTTGAAACATATTTAAAGAACATACCAGAGTGTTAACAATCAGTAAATACACACTTCTACTAGTTAAGAATGTCTAGAACAAAACAATTTATACAAGAAGCAAATAAACTGTTTAAATTATACCTATAACGGAAAAGAAAAGACTACCTTTCCATATTAATTCCTGCTCTTGAACCACTAGATAATATGGCAGTGAGAGCTATCTGTGAGGGAGCAAAGAGCAGATACGCATCTGTCAGAGCCACTCGATTGAGGAAGTCATCAGCTGTTTTCCTCAAAACTTCAGGATTCTCCAGCATTGGGTAGCGAGTCTAAAAAGGAAGTATTTAGGACAGTTAAGCAGCTGTTCCTTGTCTTCTGGTGCATGAGCTCAAAACACACAATTCAACCACATTTTGTAAAGCTAAAAAGTAGCAGGCCATCTTCTTATTCCAAAAATAATCTAAAGTGCTTAAAGACCACAATTAAACCAACTTCCATTCAGTTATTTGTCTATCACTTTGGAAATGAGATCTTTTAAGATCACAGACACAAAAGGAAATAAATTTTTCTAACACAACCCTCAACAGATGTGTATTACGTCAGTATATGGAATACGTAGCACATAAAACAATACTACCTTCAAATCGATTAGAAATCCCTCAAATGGCCTGTATGGATTGTGGACGATAAGATGGAAGTTCAGTTGCTGAATAAGCAGTAGTTCATATTCCAGTATTTGTTCAAGAGCTTTTTCCTGTCCGAGAGGGCTTTCTCGAAGGTTACCAACAAACTGTGCACTGGACACATTAAATTCATCTACTTTACAGGCCAAGAATGCACATGTTAGCCTTGAGGAGGGGAAAAAAGCAAACAATTGACAAGTGCAGCATCCATCTTTTTATCAAGAGTTCTGTTCAGAAAATTTGTTGTCTTCAAAACACTATGTTCTGAAGATAGCAAACTTTTCCAAATGGAAACTGAAAGTGACAATATTTTGTCTTTACTCATATTTAAGCTCTCAGATTTCCTTTCTTATTTTTTCAGGTCTTTACAGATATAAGAATTATACCTCCAGTGTTCCACTTGATAGAATAATTCAAGATATGTTGATAACTCACATTATTATCCGAGGATGATACTCCATCACTGAGTTATTGAGATAAAAGCGTTTGAAGTACACGCAAGCTGTTCCCTAAATCAAAAAAAAAAAAAAAAAAAAAGGGAAAAGTAAGTATAGAAGCAAAAATGGATTAAAAAATAAACAAAAAAATAAAATCACAAAACAGAACAGGCAAGTTTGAACACATACTATAGACATACAGGATACACTAAGGCAGTAAGATGCACACAATGTCATGTCATTAAATATTTCAAATTCTAATACATTTATGCCTGCAAGAGCCTTATAAAGTGGCACCTTGGTTATCTTTTCTTCCATTTTTAGACATATTTAGGAAGATAATACCAAAAAAGCCTACAGTATCTTCATGAGAAAAACATGATATTTAAGTGAAATTTAAAAAAACAAAGACTGAAAAAATTATCCTGAAAGTTGTGAGTAATCCCAGCGAAGACATCTGATTTTTTAGATCAGTAAATCTGGCAACGTGTTTAACATCTATGCTTCTCTGTGTGTCTAGAAGTACTGCAGTCAAAGCCAAATTTCCAAGCTGCTCTGAACACATGAAAGCAGATGTTTTCCATAAACGATTACTTGGTGAGTCCAGTACACGTATTCTGCAGGGACCACCTCTGAAATATAAGGTTTGGCTCCACAGAGCATGTAATGGCAGTCTACTGTGACATTTCAAACATGTCTTCACACAAGACACTCTTCATCTTTGTTATTCACCACGCCCGTCAGAAAAAGGAAGGACTGACAGGGGACCATACAGGTTATACATCTTAATGGCTAGGTGACAAAAGAAGCACAATTTCAGTCCCTGCTTCAGCTGTAACTCCCCACTCTGAAATGGACTCTTCTGCATTCAAGATAAGTCTGTCAAAAGACAATTTTTTTTTTTTTCCTGTGTAGGTTAGTTTACTGCCAGTACAGATGCTTGAACCAGCTTGCTTTGTGGTCAGACAAGCACCAATGCTTGACAACTGGACAACAGCCCAGCACTGGGACTGCCTCCTTTAGCTACAGTGAGATCATTTTACTGGATCATAAATCCATATATCGTCAGGTTTGTTGCTACTCTTTGCTTAAGGGACAAAAAAGAAAACAGTTAAAAGTCATCCATGCAAGAAATGCATGAAGTTGAGAAATAACTCTGCTTTGGAAATGGCTGCACTGCCCAGAAAACAGAAAAGAGATGAAAAGCCTCTTGAAACACAAACTGCGGCACTGGAAGACAAAAAAACTCCAAGAGATCCGTGCTCTCAAGATCACAAGCAAGCTGCAAGCGAGGGAGCGACGCAAGGAGGGGACAAAGCCTGCAGCCCCTTAGCAGACCAGGCTCACACCGAGTGGGCACCGCTCCTTACCACCACGGATCTCGGCACGGCGGGCTTGAAGACGGCGCAGAAATCCAGCAACCGCTTTTCGTAGTACTTGCATATCGCCAGCTCCTCGTGGGGCTCCAGAAGGACCGGGTCGGTCTGCTGGACCTTGAAGGGGG